ACATACATACACAGAGTAGGTACATATACTAGAAACAGGCTTTGTTTATGAAGCCAAACACATACACACACAGAGTAGGTACATATACTAGAAACAGGCTTTGTTTATGAAGCCAAACACATACACACACAGAGTAGGTACATATTATAGCCTGTTTCTATTATATGTACCTACTCTGTGTGTGTATGTGTTTGGTTTCATAAACAAAGCCTGTTTCTGTGTGTTGCTTTTCTGTATATACGTACATATATGTAGTATATGAAAGAATCATAAGTCAGGTGTGGAAGAAACTTGCTTCTAATAAATGTTTGGTTTCATAAACAGAGCCTGTTTCTATTATATGTACCTACTCTGTGTGTGTATGTGTTTGGTTTCATAAACAGGTGTGTGTAGTTTGTATATTTTACTGACACTGTTAAATGTTAAAGTAGAGATGGATTTATAAAGTATGTGCTCGTTAGAGGGTTAATTAGCAATCCCAGGGTAACAAGAATTAATGGTTTTAAACAACGTTTAAATAATAACAGTTAACTTGGATGATTTTGTATCACTTTAGGAAAAGTTGGTCATCAGTTCTTCCAGAACAAGCATGTAGTTGTCAGTACCATTCCTTTTCAACATCTCCGAATCACTGTAAATGTATGTATTGGTCAAGTTGTGATGTACTGCAGGAGTACTCTGCTCTTTATAAGTTGAACCAATAAAAAGCTTGGATTAGTCAGATGCTTGCAAAAAATGAAATGACTTTTTCCACTATGTTGCTTTTCTGTATATACATACATATATGAAAGAATCATAATTCAGGTGTGGAAGAAACTTACTTCTAATAAATGTTTGGTTTCATAAACAGAGCCTGTTTCTATTATATGTATCTACTCTCTCTCTGTTTGTGTGTTTGGTTTCATAAACAGAGCCTGTTTCTATTATATGTACTTACTCTCTCTGTGTGTGCATGTGTTTGGTTTCATAAACAGAGCCTGTTTCTAGTATATGTACTTACTCTCTCTGTGTGTGCATGTGTTTGGTTTCATAAACAAAGCCTGTTTCTAGTATATGTACCTACTCTCTCTCTGTTTGTGTGTTGCTTTTCTGTATATACATACATATATGAAAGAATCATAATTCAGGTGTGGAAGAAACTTACTTCTAATAAATGTTTGGTTTCATAAACAGAGCCTGTTTCTATTATATGTACCTACTCTCTCTCTGTTTACACACACCTTCAATTAATGCTCTGTGTTACTGAAGTTATATACTTCATAATAAGATAAACATTACTAAATACTAAAACAAGTAGCTGTGCAAAACATCGTAATATTAAAATATGAAACTTAATAGTAATTCCGTTTTTACTTCCAACGTAAAAGTAAAATTCTTTGATATATTCTTCAGCCAGAGTAATCGTGATAAAATTTAGTTGAATGAACGGCAACTGCCCCCACCCCCAGCTGAAAGGGCAAGCATGTTTGGTGGGATAGGGGTTTGTCCAGGTAGGAGAAAAAAGAAAAACTTAATGGAAAGAAATCATTTCAACCCAAACCAGAAAGGAATTATGGAAGTCATAATAATAGCTGCTTAATCATAAAATATGTACACAAAGTTATTACCTCGGCATGCTCTAGAAACAATATGTACACAATGTTAATACCTCGGCATGCTCTAGAAACAATATGTACACAAAGTTAATACCTCGGCATGCTCTAGAAACAATATGTACACAAAGTTAATACCTTGACATGCTCTAGAAACAATATGTACACAATGTTAATACCTCGACATGCTCTAGAAACAATATGTACACAAACTTAATACCTTGGCATGATCTAGAAACAATATGTACACAAAGTTAATACCTCGGCATGCTCTAGAAACAATATGTACACAAAGTTAATACCTCGGCATGCTCTAGAAACAATATGTACACAAAGTTAAGACCTCGGCATGCTCTAGAA